GGGTCAGGCAGGGAAGGCATGGGGAAATCCCTCTCATTTCCACCCATAGAATAAGAAAGAGGTCTGCTACTTTTAATAAGTTCTTTATTGACCATAGACGGGAAGGATCTACATGGTCCATAGATTTCTGGATATGGATCTCTGATTTATGGTATGGCTCTCTATGATACTCTATAAGAAAGGGGTCTGCTTCTTCAAACCCAATGACCATAGACAGGAAGGATCTCTATTGTGTGTGTGTTGTGTACCTTTGTTTCCAACTTTTGGAGGCCCTATCCTGAGGTTTTCTTGGCAAGGTTTGTTCAGAGGAGCTTTGCCTTTGTCTTCCCCTGAGGCTGAGAGAGTGTGACTTGCAGATCTCTACATACAGTCCTATAGGGATCTCTTGAATCAGGCAGGACTCTGTCTCCTTTCCTCAAGGAAAAGGGACAAGCAGCAAAGGAATAGGGGAATCCCTCTCATTTTCACCCCGGAGAATAAGAAAAGGGTCTCTTTCTTTGATGCTCTTTATTGACTATAGACGGGAAGGATCTCTGTATGGATCTCTATATACAGTTCTGTAGGGATCACTAGGATCAAGCAAGATGCTGCGTCCCCTTGTCAAGAAAAGGGGACAGGTAAAAAAGGAATGGGAGAATCTCTCTCATTTTCACCCCAGAGAATGGGAAAAGGGTCTCTTTCTTTAATGCTCTTTTTTTACTATAGATGGGAAGGATCTCTGTATGGCTCTCTATATACAGTTTTATAGGGATCTCTCGGATCAGGCAAGGATCAGGTACCTTGTCTCCCCTGCTCAAGGAAAGGGGACAGGCAGTGAAGGAATAGGAGAATCCCTCTCAATTTCATTTTCACCCCAGAGAAATAGAAGCTCTTTTCTTGACCATAAAGGTCCAGAAAAGATCCACACTGAGTTGGTAGACTGTTATAGATGGATCTCTTGGATCGGGCAAGGATCGGGCAGGACTCTGTCTCCCCTCAAAGGGGGCAGGCAACATAGATTTAAATTCACCCCAGGGAATTTCAATTTCACTTTTACCCCAGGGAAATGTAAGATCCTTTTTCCCACTATGGAATTCCTGGGAACTGTATTTGGTTGGACAAGTGGACAGTTATAGATAGATCTCTTGGATCAGGTCGGGATCAGGAAGGATTCATTCTTTCATGTCAGGGTGACAGCAGGTTGCTTCAAAGTTGTTTCCTTGAACAAGTCTTTGACAGCTTTATGACTTCCTGCCAAGAAATGAAAGAAAAACAACATTCTTTCTAGGGAGCTTTCTAGATCAGGGGTTCCCAAACTTTGGCCTTCCTGATGTTTTGGACTTCAGCTCCCAGAATCCCTGACTGTTGGCCAAGTTGGAGGGTGCTGGGAACTGAAGTGCAAAACATCTGGAAGACCAAAGTTTGGGAACCACTGCTCCCCAAACTGTGCGCTTTAAGGGATTTTTTGGACCTCAGATCCCAGAATCCCTGACTATTGGCCAACATGGTTGAGGCTTCTGGGAGCTGAAGTCCAAAAAAAATCTTTTTAAAGGCATAGTTTGGGGACCACTGCTCTAGAGATTGTGTGAAATGTTGAATTCCACTTTCCTCCCTCTTTCTTTCTGGGCATCCTATGTATATAAAAGGAAAAAAACAAGGTTTGGTTTTAAAATGTGTATTTTGCCCTTAAAGGGCTAGCAGTCTTGCTGGAATCATTCAGTGATTCCCACAATTTAGTCCTCCAGGTGTTTTGGACTTCAACCCCCAGAAGCCTCAGCCAACCTGGCCAGCAGTCAGGAATTCTGGGAGTTGAAGTCCAAACATCTGCAGGAGGACCAAAGTTTGGGAGTCACTGAGAGGCTCCCCCCCATCAGAGCATAATAATAATAATAATAATAATAATAATAATAATAATAATAATAATAGCAGCATGCAATGCTGTGGTTGTATAATTTATCTAAATTTCATCATTTGGTTCAGAACAATGCATCTACCAGGGAAACCTTGGGCCTTTCAGGTGTTTGGGACTTGAGCTCTTAAAAGTCCCAGGCAACACAAATGGTGGGAAGGGATTATGGGAGCTGCATTCCAAAAAATATCCATAGGCCCCAAATTTGCCCAGCATTAATATAATGCTTCATACAGACTTAGGGTGCTTCTGGAATCAAGCTTTTATTATGTTCTGAGCCAGCATGGTCTAGTGGTTTGAACGTTGGACAACAACTCTGTAGACTAGGGTTTGAATCCCTGCTCCGCTATGGAAACTCACTGAGTGACCTTAGGCAAATCACACTCTCTCAGCCTCAGAGGATGGCAATGGTGAACCCTCTCTGAAGAAACTTGTCAGGAAAACCCCATGCTAGGGTCATCTTAGGTTTGCCATAAATCAGAAATGACTTCAAGACACACAAGAACAACAACAAGAAGAAGCCTCAATCATAGGACTTTACTGGGGGTTCAAATGTTGTTATCTTCCTACTGCTGCTTCTATCTTTTTCTTTTCTTAATGCTAAGAAACCTACTATGGGGAAAGAATAACTGCACAGTGTCTATAGACAGGTAGGCCTGGAACCTCCTTAAAACTAGGATTACTTGTCTAGAAGTACTCCTTTAGAGCTCATATTCTGCGTGGCAGTCATATTCCATAATGGATACCTCTGTACCTTTGTTCTGGTGCCACAACAAAATAAAGTTCCTAGAATTCCATAGTGTTGAGCCGTGGCAGTTAAAGTGGTGTCAAACCGGATTGTTTCCGCAAAGTGGATGCAGCCATTGCTGATCTTAAGATGAACACAAGCCAGCTGTAGAATGCTGCAGCAAAGAAGGCAAATGCTATCTTAGCCCACGTTAATAGAAGCATAGTTTCCAAGCGGAGTGAACAGATAGTTCCACTATATTCTGTGCTGGCCAGGCCTCCTTTGCATTCAGTTCTTTGCATTCAGAAGGATATAGACACATTGGAGTGAGTTCAGAGAAGGGCAATGAGGATAATAAGAGGTATGGGGAACCAAATATATGAGGACAGGTTGAAGGAGCTGGGCATGTTCAATCTGGTGAAGAGAATCCTAGAGTTGGAGGAGACCCCAAGGGTCATCCAGTCCAACCCCATTCTGCCATGCAGGAACTCAAAATCAACGCATCCTTGACAAATGGCCATCCAGCCTCTGTTTAAAGAAGACAGGGGTGACATGATCACACTTTTTAAATAACTCAAGGGCTGTCACAGAGAAGAGGGGCAGGCATGTTCTCTGCCACCCCAAAGGCTAGAACTAGGTCTAAGTTTTTAGGTTTTAAGTTACAGGAGGGTAGATTTCGGTTGAACATTAGAAGGAGCTTCCTGAGAGTGAGAGCAGTTTGGCAATGGAACCAACTGCCTAGAGGAGTGGTGGGCTCTCCTTCTCTGAACAGACAGCTACCTGTTGGGGATGCTTTTGCAGAGATCCTACATTGAATAGGATATCACAACATTGGAAGTGAGCAACTTGCGGCCCTCCGCATGTTACTCAATTCCAGTTTCTACTAATTCTACCTAACATGGCCAATGGTAAAAGGATGATGGCCCATTGACTTGCTCCCAACTCTCTGATTCTATGGTGCTCTGTCTCAGGCAGCAAAATGACTTGCGCCAACCCTGGTAATAAGAGTA